AAATAAACTTTTTACACGCTTTGGAAAATCTCAGAAGTTCGCGGTAGTCACTTTTCGGTAAGGAACTAAGGGACTCGGTTATTGTATCGAGTGGGGGGTCGAAACGATCGCAAAGGCGGTATACTACGTATACGCGCCAAAACCCCTACAATCAATGAACAGGCAACATACACAACACGCTGATACAATAGCCATACCATGACTGAACCACGAATGGACTTGCACATTATTGCAACTTGGAGAGCGCATGCTTGGATTAATCAGGTATGGACCTGCGCAATTACCTAAAAGTGCCAATTTTTATCACCGTATAACGAATTATTTCACGATTTTCTGCCCACTTAAGCCCTGGATATTGTGTGAAATTGTATGGAACTTTCTTTCTCAAACTAGTATTTCTAAGCCAATGATGAGGCCGTCCCAAATAATGGCCGACAATGAGCCCAATTTTACCCTCCAGGCTCCTCTAATCTGATTACTGCACATGGTTGCGTCAATGTTACGGTGTTTCATATAATATCACTTGGTGATATTGCTTTAAATATTTTCAGCCACAATTGCAGGAACATTCTTTTATAATATGCTTAGATTTTTATTTCGAAAGCACAATATTGCAGGAATATTGCTTGAAGATTATGACCGACCAATATTACCTGGCTATTACCTGTGTCCGCGCAATATTGCCCCCTACCCCTTTGCAAGATGAGGTGTTTGTGTATTATGACTTTTATGACTCAACTTTTATTTTTTTCGGGGATTAAAAGTACTTGCTGGTGAACATCTTGGGCGGTAAATGTCGTGGCAAGGGACGTAGTTAATTTTACCTCTGTTGATAGTTGTTGCGTTCTTGAGAAGATTAGCCGGGCCTTGGACAAAGCCGCCTGGACACAGGTCACTCTGGCCTCAAGCCGCCGCTCTGATTCCTGGCTCTCACTCAGTTTCAGCTCAGCTTTTCTCAAATCTTCCTCCCTGCAAGAAATCCAATGTCGAAACAAGAGCTGAGTGAGACAATGCAATTTGCGAACGCAGCTACATGAGAATTAGACGTACATAACTGCCAGACGGAACTGTGGACGATTTGGAAAGATGGAGCGTGTTTAAGAAAGCTATGTAAGGAACAGTGTAAAAGTGGGCGTGATTCCCTTTGAGGAGATTGAAAAGCGGGATTTTAAATTCTGTCAAACGGAACTATGTGCAAACTGAATGCGGCACTCATGAACTGTGGGCATGCGACAAGTGCGTTATGGACAGGGCTCATGAGTTAAAGAGCCCCACCACTGATCTCCTCATCGTCACTGAGCTCGGTCGTCGCCGCTGACGTCACTGGCGCTTGCTTTATAATTCCCATTCATTCTTACGGCCATTGACTAACGAGCATATCCCTTCTTTTCCACCTGTCTCTAGTTCCGTTTGGCAGAAATACGTCCAATTCAACGACTGAGCCGGTGAATCATTTAAAATACGTAAAACTTTCACTGGATGCCACAACAAGAAAGGTCGCCAGTAATGCCGTTAAATCAAAAATAGATTTTGCCACCCTATAAAATTTCCAAGATTCAGGCTCGGACCGGTCATAAGGTCAATATGCTGTCGGCAGATACGCCCCTTTTGGCACGCTAAAGACGCCCCCCTGTGTCAGACGGCAAAATGGGAGGAGAAAAAAATTATGATCGAGAAAAAATGCGGAAAATGTATAATGGACGGGACAAGAGAATGGTCCTTACTTAAAACTTAAAAAGAGTAATGTGCGGATAAACTAGGAAAATTTTAACAAATCTAGGTGATCGTTTTTAATATCGATGATTTGAACCTTCTAAGAATATCCAAACCATGTAGAATTCTTAAGATTTTTACATGAATATTAGTGGGATTAACCCCCAAATACCCAAGACTTTTTTTACACGCACAGTCCCAAGTCGGGCCAAACTGACCCGTATTTAAATAGATTGATTTTAATGGTTTTTGAGGATGTTGTTTGTATGTTTTCAAGGGAAAGAAATACTTTTCTGTGAAATTTTCACCCTGTTTTTAACATACAGGCGCTTTATAATCCCCCTCGTCCCGCCTTATACGCCATGTGTAACTCCCTCAATAGAGATAGTCGATCAATTTTCAGTCGTGTGCCTTTAGAGCGCTTGGAAGACCTCCAAACATACTTTTTTCTTTTTGAAATAAATATTGATTTTGACATACCTTAGCATATTTTGAGCAAACTTAACCTCAACTTATCTCAAATTTAAAAAATAATAGTCATTTAAACGCGATACAACTATATTCGCGCTAGATGGATGTCCATATTGCATAAAAAAAATTTAAGGTGCGCGATGGTGTGAGTCCCCGAACTGTGAACTCGCAATGCTCTGCCTTACGCTGCTAGTGAGATTTGAGAGCAGTTAAAAAAGGCTGCATTACGTCTTCCGTATTTTCGGCTGTGTTGCCCACGCAGCCCAGGAAACACCACTACAAATGAAACAAATGAAACGATAGGGCAAGGAAAAGAACGCGCGTTGACAACGGCGCGGCGCAGAGATACAACTATTCGTGCTTGATGGATGTCCGTGCTGCATCTGCAAAATTGAAGGCGCGATGGCGCAAGGCGTACACTCGCAAATGCTCCGTAGCTCCACTCTATGCTGCCAATGATGTGTTGCCCAGATTCGCGAGAAAAGTGTAAAAAGAAGTTCGATTGCGTCTCTCCTATCTTCGGCTGGGTTACTTACGTAACCCTTGAAGCATCACTACGAATGAGACAAACGGAAACAAACATAGGCAACACAGAAATAGAGCATAGGAAAAGACGCGCATTGATGACGGCGCTGAGATACAACTATTCGTGCTTGATGGATGTCCGTATTGCATCTGCAAAATTGAAGGTGCGATGGCGCGAGGCGTGAACTTGCGATGCCCCGCTGTTTCCTGCCAACCAGGTGTCACTCAGGGGGAAAAGTTTACAAAAAAAGGCCCGAATACGTCTCTCCTGTCTTCAGCTTGTTGATACTCGATGTTTTCCTTATTTTCAGGTTCATGTCTGATTCTGTTTTAGGATGGAATTGCAGACCATCATCTACAGCTCGTGAGAATTGGCCCTACATAATCCGCGGGGCACGTTTTTTTAGCAAGCCTCGGGTCGATTTGACCATGCTCAGGGGCAACTAAAGGTCGATGAAAATAGCATTAAAATGACTGCACCTTGCTCGGAGATACTCAGGATTTAGTTTTAAATTTTATCGCATTTCATAGTTCGGAAAATTGCCTTTGGCTATCGATAGGATATAGTCCCTAGATTGGCCACTCTATAGATTATCCCACGAAGGGACTGCAAAGACGACCTTAGAGGGTAGGGTCGCCCAGGAGGCGTACAAGTTACTTCGACGAAGTTATTTATCAAATTTTTTAGCTCACCTGTCCTCAATTTTTCTATCGAGAGATTGATGGTCTATCTGGAGCTGTTGGAAGTCCTGGATTCTTAGGCCACTGTCTACGTGTTCCATCTCTGTTAGTTGCCGTTTTTTCTTCACGACCAAATTTTTCATATTAATGTATTCCAGCCGGGCTTCTCTCAAATCCTTCATTTTAGAATTTTGTTCGCTGATCATCGCTTCAATAGTCTGTAAAAGTGAGAAAATCGTAAAAAAACTGGAAATTAAATCTGCTAATGCACACGTGTATATGCTTTTTACTCTGCTTGCTACGCCATTATTTTTGGGTCCTAAGAGTTTCATGACGCTTAAGATGGAGGAGCCAATCAAAAACAGTAGCCTCGTGGCGATTACTCTCCTTATCAAGTTACTCTACTTGCCTCTTCCTTCATACGATCCTGAAAGACTGGCTTACCTCTTCTTCAGGTACTTTTGAGAAGTTTTTGTTCAACTCGAGGAAGTTAATTATTTGGACTCCCGCCCTTTTAGAAGTAGTGGGTTTAATTAAGGATTTGACTGTTAACTCCAATACTTTTTTTACCAGATACCTGCTTACCCTAAGGGGTACTTGTATACGGGAGAGTATCGCCATCTCTGTGCCGCTTTCTGATTGGTTCATCAGTTTTAGGCTATCATGGAGCTCCAATGTTGGCCCAATGTAAACAAACCCGACCCTGAGGAACACGTATTATCGGCTGAGAAATGAATAATAATCACACTCAAAGCTTAATTTCCGGCAAAAATATTCATCAATGTTCGACCCGAACTCAATTCAGAAGTTGGATTTAAAAGAATTTCTATCACACCCAAAATAACGTCTAGAACTTTGTACAACTTTTTCGCTATCTTGTTTGTTTACATTGGCCCAAAGTAGGAGCGGAGGGGCTGGGGCACGGAAAAAAATGTCTGTGCGCGGATAACCATCTTGGTTTTGTTAGTTAAAAGTTGGTGCCGTATACATGAAAAAATTGATAGAATAACCAACGGCATTGTATTGTCCACAACGTCTTTAGGGAAATCAATCATTTTCAGTTAGTTGCTACTAGCTATTACAAATCTGTTCACCGAGACAAAATTGATGGTAAACTGCTCCATCAAGTTGACTCATTGCACCAAAGAGTGCGCTTGCACTCTTGAGCTACAGAATGTGTTAGTGCAAATTATAAACTTGTTGATTATGAAGCAGGTCACCATCTCAGATAACTCAATTAAAGTATTTTGTTAGTAGTCTGCCCCGTCAATTTTTTACGCCTTACCAACATTGAGTCACCAAAGAAAGCAATCAGTTATGGGCTGATTAGGGAAAGTATGTTGATAAATTTTCAAGAATTCATATTCAACCCGCCTTGTGTGACTGATAAGCGTGTAATAATATGTTCGTGGAGCGTACTCCTTTTCCCGTCCCTGGCTCGGGCGACGGTAAAGTCGCCGCAAAACTATATGACTTCGAGCAATTAATTATTCTTGACTCTGCTCGGTTTTAATGATAATTAAAGGGCATTTATTACAACAATTCAGAAACTCGGACGATGTTAAATTTTTCACTGATATAAAAAAAACGGATTAAAACGAACTAAAATATTCATCGAAACCAAAAAGCATTTCATTCTAAAAGTAAAGTATACCTCATATCGTAATTTTTGAGGGGAAAAATAAAACTAACACTGGTAGGAGGTAAAAATAGGGTCATTGATTGTGAAGTGGGCCAGGGGGTTGGACCACGTAGCGGTCAGGGGGCATAGCCCCCCTAGTATTTGACTATTTGCCTAGGCATTTGACAAAATGCCTAATTTTACTATTTGCCTGCGACATATCGATTGCAGTGTTTGAAAATTTCTTTCCTCCCCCTCCCTCCCCTTGGCACCAAGTTTTACGAAAATCCGACGAGCAGGAACCGAGATAGCGTTTTAGGCCACGCCCGCCACCTTGGTTTTTCGAAATTAGACTAAAAATTCGAATTTAATCGATGGAATGGGAGCCGATGTATCAATTAAGGCTACGTCCGCCGTCTTAAATTTTCAAATTCAGAAAATTCAACTTGAAACGCATCATACCCAAAATCTAAGCTCAGATTCGGCTTCCTCGTGAAAAATCGATGCTATTTCATGTATCATATGTTACCATAGCATAAAGAAAAGAGGGTAATCGTAGGCGTAAAGATTCTATCAAAGCCGGCCGGTATGCGGAAGTAAGCACAGAATCCAAACGTTTGAGCTACGCCGCCAGGCGCCAGCCCCAAGCATTTGGTTCGTCCGTTTCCGAGAAAACAAACTTCTTCTTACTCATCAGCTGACCCACTCCGAATCACCCATGTTGCCACGTCGAACTGATACGGTAGAATCTACACGCCTACGTTAATCTCTTTCCTTCATGATATGGTGACATATGATACATGAAATTGCATCGATTTCTCACGAGGAAGCCGAATCTGAGCTTAGATTTCGGATATTATGCGTTTTAAGTCAAATTTTCTTTTATCTATTTTAAATCACTCAGGAAAATTTGCGGAAACTCATTAGAATAACAGTGTGTATTCTTTTAAAAACATTGATCAGAAATAAAACATGGACGGCATTTGAATCCATTAATCTCCGAGATAACTTGGACACGGTTGTTCTAATGTACGACTTTTTACGTATGTTGTTTTCTTCCACATTGGTTGTCGGCAGCGTAGTGGCCAAAGGCCCCTGGTACTAATAATAGTTTTCAAAATCAATTTTTTTCTACATTCAAAATTCCAAGGAAATGGCAGAAATTTATCAATTATTACTAATGTTTTAACAATGTTTCATGTCAATTGTATGCTGTCGTAAAGCTAAACATCCCAGGTTTACCAGTAGGCTAGGCATGCACTATATTTAACACCATGTCAAGGCTTCAGTACTTTAGAGGGGTAATTTTTTTATTTTCTATTCTACATAATCTCACTTGTTCAAGTAAGTAGCCTGGGCTTATTTGTCCAATGCTAGAAGCACTTTAGCCAATCATAAAAATAATCCTTGTTTGAAAATGATGAATTGACTCTCGACATGAAAAGAAAAAAAAATAGATAAATCTAATGCAGTTATAAATAACAACGAAGGGATATTTAATGAAGTATAAAAATTAAAATGAAGTGACTGTATTAAAGTAAAATATAAAAAATTGCAAGAAATACAATAAAGTAAGTAACGGTAAAATACAGGGAAGAAATAAAGAATAAATAATCAAAGAAAAATAATATTAAGTAAAGAAAAAACAATGAAGTAAAACATTAAAATTAAGTAAAGAAAGAAAGGAAAACAAATTAAAATAAAGTAAATAAATAAAAAGAAATAATCAAAGAAAAATTATATTACGTAAAGAAAAAAAATAAAGTAAAAAATTTAAAATGAAGTAACGAAATAAAATAAAGTAAAAAACTGAAATAACGTTAAAAAATAAAATGAAATACAAAAATTAGAAAAATGAATGAACCAATCTAAGTATGTAGATTGAATATCCTGGTTTCCCGTTCAAATCGAAGCTATGTACAGGTTTTTTGGTCAAGATTCTCATCATACTGTACAGCTCAATCGTTAGGGTCTTCGGCTAGGGTATGATAGGTCCCTGGTTCAATTCCCGCGGCAGGCAAAAAAATTCGATAGGTCGGATACGACTACAGCATCTCACAATAAGTACTATAGTCTCATTTTACTCGATTTCGAAATTTATTTACGCGATTAACCCTTTTCCACTATCCCTTGGCTGCGAACCCCGACATTGCACACCTTTGTATTCAATTTTTTTAGCTGTACGTTTTACAAGAAAATACTCCTCTTTATGGCTAAAAACACAAAATATTAGGTTCTCCTTGCTTTCATGATTGATACACTAAACATCCGGATGGGTCAGTTTACCATCTTTGAAGGTCTATCTCAGCAACGTTGTGCGGGACGTCTACGGAGGACGGCGCGCCCGCCCAGCAGTGTTGGTGCGAATTACCATCTTTGTTGTCAACGCCTACCTGATCGCGGTTTGAGGTTTCTAACCATCATACATTTGTGTTCGTAGCAAAATTGTTCTCAGGGGTCGAATCTGGGAATCCAAGATGGTAAATGTCACCTACTATCTGGCTATAAGCACCAAAGATTTTTTTCCGTGGGTTTGTTTACAGTGGTCCAACTTTTGGGGTTCCACGATTGCCGACCAATCAGAAAGCGGCACACTTTTTCTCTAGTATAAGGATTGAGATGGCAATACTCTAATTCATTGGATCGGACCACAGCACCTTTATAGAGAGAGCATAGGCACCAGGTACCATCATGGAAGTCTCTGAGCGGATTACGAGCAGCTGTAACACAACTCAAAATTAAACGTGTAAAGGTTTGCCGGGGACAGTCCTGAGGATGTGGGGGTACTACACGCAAGATTACGACCTACCTAATCCGCCCAAACACCTTGACAAGGGATAATATTTTTGTTAAAGGTGATTTGTCCCAGTTTCTGGCATGACCGAGCATGCGTGCGATGCACTGAAAAAAAAATCTCAGTGTATTTACCAAGAAAAGGGTGAAATTACCAAGAAATCAGGGTTCTATTTGATCCCAGTTTTTTCTTGGTAAAATTGCCATTTATAGAATTGGTAATTTTACCGAGAAATCTCGGTAAAATTATTGAACTTTCTCGGTAATTTTACTAGACCTTGGTAAAAACGCCAATAAATTTTATTGACTGTGGTAGAATTACCGAGATAAAGTGGCAAAGTTACCGGGAATTGATTACCAATAAGAGTGGTATTCTTACCTGAAAAAAACAGTAAAAATACCGGTTTTTAGGTAAGCTTACCAGTCTGTCTTGGTAAAATTACCAATAATTGGTGAAAAAAGTGAGATGGTAAAGGTACCAACGGACCTTGGTACAAACAAACGCCGAGAATTTTTTTTCAGTGTGTATCGTATAATGAAGTAAAAAATCTCGGCGAATTTGAATATTTGGTCAGATAAAAGGACTTAGTCTAGCCTATGCGCATAAGCGGAGAGTATCATTCTCAACCGAAAAATTGAAAAAATTCAAAGAAAAATTAATATACCTTACTAGTGAGTTGACGGGCAGTTTTCGGATGCAGGAGCCTTTTCCCAATGGAGGTTTGGAGTTTGGTGAGCTCCTGGTTGGCAGCACTGGCGACTGCTTCCCGCTCAGCCAACTCTCGCTCGAGGAGTGACATCTCCTCTTGGACGAGATGCTCCTCTTTCTCCACGCCTCTCTTGAGACCGAAGTACAGCTCCAGAGTCTCTTGGTACTTTTCCTGACAGTCCACGTCATCTCCCTTCCCGCTTGTCCACTCGTCCGTCGCTGAGACACCACCAATCTGAGCGTCATCCAAAAAGTATCTCCGGGTCAAACCTAAAGAAGCGTTCCGCTTAGAGCGTCCTAACTTAATTCTAAAATTTTAGGCGCCAGTTGACTTAGGAGCCCTGATTTTCTGGCGCCATGCGAAACTAAAAATGTGTGTGTAAAAAGCAGGAGGGGGGGATGCCTGATAAAAAAGGTACCCGTATTACACTTTTAAGCCTGATAAAAAACCCTGATAAACTTGACTCGGAAGAAACCCCTCGATCCAAAATAATCAAGTTGAATTTTTAGTTTTTTGGAGGTCAAATTCGACGGTTTTAGAACTGCCCATATCGATGGTTAAACTGCAGAAATGCGTATCTCGGTTTGCGGCGTTGCGGATTTCCTATCATACTTTATTTTCTACGTAGAAAACCACTGAATGTCTTTTTTTGAAAATTTCAGTGATTTTTCTTCTCTTTATCAGGAATATTCTGTGAAACCTTCAAGCCATAATAGCGATTCGGTCTCTGTTTAAAAAAGAAAATAGTGGCGGAAATTTCAAAACACCGCAACCGATGTACGGATTTTTGCAGTTTTGCCGTTAACATGCGTCTCACGCCGACCAGCGACCGCTCTGCGTTTGGCGCAATGCTTGAAGTATTCCCGCAGTCTTGTAGGCGCTAATGCTTTTCGCGCCGACCGGCGCGGCCCGGCGATTGCACTGTGTTAACGGCGCAATGCGTGAAGTATCACTGCACTCTTGTAGGCGCTAATGTTTTTCGCGCCGACCGGCGACCGCACTGTGTTAACGGGGCAATGCGTGAAGTATCACTGCACTCTTGTAAGAGCTATTATGCGTTTTGCGCCGACCGCTCTGATGTGTTTGGCGCGATGCGTGAAGTATACTCTACACTTCAAAGTCTTCAAGTATACTGATGATATGCATAAAATATCGATTCCGGTATCTCTCCTCCCTAAAAACTTTCCCTTTTACCCAGTTGCCTCATTACGTAAATGACATTTAATCATAGGTAATTATAACCCCGTAAAAATGTTGTTTATTCAAGTTTTTTATTTTCATAATAAAGGAACTAAATAGAAAAAAAAGTTCTCAAGTTCCTTCAAAATTGGCGAGAGTTCAAAATGGCCGCAGTAATCAGAACCAATATAACTACATCTACAGTTGTCTAATTTCTTACTCTCATTGTTTATTCCTTTACCAGAAAACTAAAAGCAATATTCTGATTGGATATTTTGTATTTTAATACTACGGCCAGACTGCAGGAGCGTGTTCTATGGGCCATGTGAGACTTTTTCGTTGTATTAAGTTTTTTTTCCAAAAGTGCCACCAGTCGGAGCTACGGCCCCCCAAAATTTCGGACAGTAAATCGTTTTTCCTGAATTTTAGCAACAGTTGTGAACCAAATCTCATGAAAATCTGTACTCCCCTGCACTTTCATGTCCTGCATTCATCATTGAACGTATTTATATCAAACGGAGCTATGTGCATTATGGCGTGAGCCCTGTTATAAGCACATATTCTTATGGGTCTCATAGGGCTCATGTCTTAATGCACTTCGTTCCGTTTGACAGAAATACGTCCAATTAATCAAAAAAAAAAAAAAAAAAAAAAAAAAAAAAAAAAAAAAAAAAAAAAAAAAAAAAATCGAAATATCAATTTAAAGAGGGAGTTTTGGGGTGTTTCGGCTCCTGCAGTCTGGCCGTTTATAACCCTCGATCATCCTATGTATACGAAGGCATCTCTTCCTACTTCGCTCACCTTTTTTCGTTTGCAATGCGCGAAGAGTTTCTTCAGCAAGTAGACGTTTTTTCTCTTCAAGAGAGAGTGGGCTGCGACGAGACTGGAAAGCTGTTCGGCAGCCACCGCTGATCCACTGAGATCTCTCGTCTGGACACCCTCCGCATCGGTCGACTCCTCCGAGGGGGATGCTGGCGGATCCGGGAGGGCTCCCGGGTGAAGGGGAGGTTTCGTCTCACCGTCATCCGTGTCGCACGGATTAGTATCCGAGTCTGTCTCTCTCTCAGCTGACATCAGTCCCGGCCTAGAGTTTTTCCATTTGCAATTTTATTTCATGCAAATTAAAAATGACCGATATAATTCCAAAAATGCGACTATTTTCAATATTTTCGTTACAGTATATGTTACTTTGGCAGTTACACATCTCAGATACGTACCGTGATGCCATACAGAAGGAGTGAGAATTAAAATGGTCTTGCCAAAAATATACGGATCCAGACTCTTCAAAAGGGGGGCGCAAGGGGGGTCCGGTGGGCCGTCCAGAAAATTTTGAAAATTTTAAAGCATCAAATGGAGTGAGTCGATTTCTCATGAATAATTGGACTGCATTTTGCAATTTGGATCTATAAATTCTGGCTCATCTGAAAAAACACGTATGTGCATAGGGAAACTAATGGCACATACGTTGTTTTTAAACCGGGCCGGAATTTATAGGTCCAAATTGCAAAATGCAGTCCAATTACCGTATCTAGCGTTCTCCCCTCCTCTCTTCCTCCTTTCCTTCTTTCTCTCTTCCTTATCTTTTTCTTCCTCCTTGTTTCAAGCGAACGGAAGAGTGGACGCCCTCTACGCCCCCCTGAATCTGCCTACGTAGCGAAAAAATAAACGTAAATAAAGTTAAATTAAAGTATACACTGATGTGGACACCCTTTTCCTTTTTTTTCTTCGTTCGTAACATATTTTGAACAAACTAAACCTTAACTTTCCTTTTTTCAAAATAAGAGACATCTCAACGCGCGTTGATAACAGCGCAGAAATAAAAATCGAGGGTGCTCGTGTTGCATCTGCAAAATTGAAGGCGCGATGGCACGATGGCGCGAGGCGTGAACTCGCAATGCCAATGCTTCATTACATGCTGCCATGAGGTGTCGCTGGGGGAGGAAAGTAAAGGAACGCAGCCCAATTACGTGTCTCCTATCTTCGGCTGAGCTGACACTCGATTTTATTTTTGATTTTTTTTCAATTTGATGTCTAATTCTTTTTTCAGGGTGTACTTATAGACCTATATCCTAAGCTCATATGCACCAGCCCTGTAACTTGCCCATGAGAGATAAACGGGCCGATTAGGCCCGGTTTAGGATTTCTAGGGGAAGTTGTCGAAAAGAATTACCTAATTTTCGATTGTTTTTCTGCTTCTTTATAAAATTGTGTGCCAAATTATTTTTCATTATGTATTTGTAGGCATATATCTCGAGCTCATAGGTATTGCATCGGCCCCATACAACCCGTCGAACACATATGGTTTTAGCAGTCAATTTGACCCGTCTTGGGCATCTAAGGAATTAAATACGCCAAACATAATTACAAATTACTGAATTGAGATGATAAAAACTCATAAAAGCGCATGCTGACACCTTTAAGAGAGAAATCAACATGAAACGTTTTCTAATTTGTACATTTAAACATTTTTCATCAAAGCCTCCTCCCTATTTGAAAAACTTCTGATCATGCCACATGCATTGTTTGGTCCCTTCCAGATTCCGCAGTATTTTGCGAGTGATTTTGTTTGATAGTAGGTATTTTTTTCATCTAAAAGGTCAAAAATCAATGATGAGTTGTATGAACAAAATTAATTACCTAAGTGGAGACACTTCTCTAGAGAGACACTTAGAACAGCGGCAAGGATTCTACAGAGGCATTCTGTCCTCCAACTTTAGGAATCGCACTTTGTTAGATCTTCGCACGAACGCTCGATTTGATAAAGGATTATATTCGCCATCGCTGACAGAGCTCGGCGCGAACCAAGGCGCATTGCGCTCGTGTGGACACATGCACTGTTGTCAATTCTCTAACATTCTGCCTTTTAGTCACACTGGAAAAAAAAAACACATTGGATCAAGAGTCCAGACTCTTGAAAACATTGACAAGAAAAACTACGTACTCTTGATTCAATCGGATTTTTGCTTGAATCAAGACGAAATCCGCTTAAATTAAGAGGCTTGGTTCTTGATTTAAGCTAGATTCTGATTGAATCAAGAGTACTTTTTCTTGTCGATGTTTTTAAGAGTCTGGACTCTAAATCCAATGTATTTTTTGTTCCAGTGAAGGCAGGATATAGTCTAATTTTCTTGTAATAAAAAGTATAATCTACGGGATGACATTGAAAAACATCCGATGTGATCAAGTTCTAATTGATCCAGCCCATACTAAAAAACGGTGTGAAAGTGTCATCTTTAGAGGGTTTATGCTCAAGATCGACCACACGGCCAGAGGTGAGAGCCTCTACTACGCCATCACAGCGTTGCATCACAGTGAACGTAGCTGTAAGCGAAGTAAAGTGATCCCTCTTTTGGTATTTTGAAATGGAACAAATTTATGCACTAAAGAAAATAGATTATTCGCTTAGTCCGTGAAAAATTGCACAAGGTTTCGATAAAAATAAGACACATAAATAGTTTGTGAAACAATAAATTTATTCTCAGTGTAGATAATACTGCGTTATAAAAACATAAAATGTTCCTTCGATTGGTCGTGCAACATTCGACGTAGCGTTGAGCACATCTGAGACCCGATTCTATTACTCCCTGAAAAAAACCTCCTTGGCGAAGCTAAAATTGAGATGTTACTTGAGGGAGTTTTAGGACTTATAAAATAAATTTTACGATCTCAATGTCATTTTTTGCTTCAATAGGAATCTAGTCTTTTGGTCAATTTCAACCGGATATGCAAATGGCACGGCCGGCTGAACCAACTGCTGAATGATAGGTTGCGTCAATGTCTGCACGGTGTGAATAGGGCTCCAGAGGGGACGCAGAAGGCGTGCGCCCCCCCTTCCCCCCTCGTTCGTCCGAAAAAAAGGAGTTAGAAAAAGTAAAGAAAGAAAAAAAGAAAGGCACGGAGGAGTTAAGAAAGGGCGTTTAGATTTTGTATTTTTTCACGAAAAAATGGACTCAAACTTCATGTAAGATGCTTTAAAATTTCAAAAATATTTTTAGGGCAGTCCTCCAGATCCCCTTACGCCCCCTCTCTCGAGGTGTCTAGATCCGCTAGGGCTGTACTTGCTAAGAGTTAATTTTATCGTGAAATTTGGCACTGTCGAAAAAGTCGCGCCGGGAGGTGCCGCGACTCGAAAACTTTTCATACCTTCCGCGACTGTGACTACAGCTGTTTCCATACCAACACCCACAACAACCTCCTCCTCCCCCCACCCATCGGTGACAAATCAGGTGAAAATGAGGACACTCTCATGCTCGTGTGGCTTCGGCGGTTTGAAAATTGCACTGTAAAAAACTCTTTAAGTGAGAATGAAGGGTGTCTTTTGAATTGGGAGGATCATATGGGGGGGGGGGGGGGTCTCAGGATGGATTTTCTTCGAGGGGAATTTTTTGGAGGGGAATATTTTCGAGAAAATTTCATCTGAGTCATGACAAATATACCAACACGTTTACGACCGGCGTGGCGCGGAAAGAGACGATTAAGACAGTTTTTAGATTTAAGACAACGCCTTAATAAAACTCTGACGCTGCCAAAGTTCCTCTGAAAAAAGCAATTTTCTGGGAAACTTGAATTTGTCTCTTTAAATTTTTGAAAGAATTGTCCTCGCAATTTAATCTCGTGTACGTGAAAATCGAGGGAAAAGGGAAAAGTGGCATGCGATTTTTCTACAGTGTTCTTCCTCACAGTAAAGCAGTAGGTATTGTAGTAGTAAGTAAAGTTACAATTCGATCAGAGTTTTTTCCTGATGAACCTTCGAATGTGCGTGTGATCGATAAATGAAAATAACGATCATAACAATTAAACAAAAAACAATACTGAAAACTGTCGTCGTGCAAAATGCTTTTATAAAAGTCTCACTGGTCACGAGGTGTTCAAAAGCCTCGCTATAGCCAACAAAGCTTACAGTGACGTTAGATCTTCGATTCGGCCCGGAAGAAGTTTCGAATGCATGGTATTCCATCTTCACAAAGAATTCTTCACCGGACGGAAGTTTAATATGACAAGCATCATAGTTTTCCTTTAAAACTAGTTTAGTGGGCTCATGGTCGCACTTCACGGTCCGCCTGCCGTAACTACAATTAGACTGGAAGGGCATCAGTCCTTCCTTCGTGATGTTTTGAGCTTTCAGGACCAAGTATGAGCTTTTCTCGCAGGTTGTGCAGCCAAAACTCATCAAAAACTCGAACTTGCACGTGCCGTTTGGCCTCAGTGGTTCGTTTGAGTCCGCGTCCCCGAAATGCATGCGCACATGGCCTCCCGTCAACAGAGCGAACGTATCCACTTCTGGAAGTTCCGGGTCCCACCTGACAAAGCGATCGGGCTGTTTAAAATCATTCCGCTTTGCTAGGAATTTTGCAATCATACTCTTAGAGTTAGGACTTTTACACTCACAAATACATGGTTGAGACTCATCTTCTCTGCAAAACCCGACCTCTCCCTCTTTGGCATATATCTCTTCACCTTTGCCATCGAGCATAATCTGAACGTCCCCAAACATACCCATTTTAGGCTTGTTGATCTCTGACCCATTAACGTAATATAGCCCTTCGTTGAAAAGTAGGAGGGAGTCCGGAAATTCCCCCAACACATCCAAATGGGTGATACTTGTTGAACCAAGCAAAGGCACAGGAAGATCATAGCTATCTACTGTCACCCAACGATGGGAATTAGCGTTTTGAATCGTAAATGTAACTCTTCCAACAAGACCAGTTCTCTTGTAAACGGTATACAACGGTCCTTTCCTTCTTTTCAGAAAAATCCAGTAACACCGCATGGGCAACTCCGTCTGATCCGAGGTAAAACACTCCGTTTCCACCGTATTGTTCCTAAGTTCACGCGGTATTTCCGCAGCCATCGTATTAAAACACACAGTGTCTTCCACATTGCATTCCTCGTGAGTCTCGCAGCAAGAGCCACCGTGGAAATTATCAGTAATGGAATAATCTGACGTGTTGTAAGCCGGTGCATACCTAGCCCTGATAGCGATTTTGGAAATTTTCAAAGTCACAGTCTCTCCATAATTATCTGTCACGCAGATTTTTTGGTTTTCCGTGATGGTGAGGATGTTGGTGACATTCTCGGTCACGCTACCGCACCCAGAGCCGTGGCAAAATGTGCTGATATTATTCGGACCCACCACGTGCATTACGTCACAAGCACTCGTCGTCTTGAACACCAAAAGCCCCGTGACTATCGACTTGAAAGTTTTCCTTCTCGAGCCGTTCTTCTGCCTTGTGCCCGTCTGATCGCCATCTCTTACGTCGTCGGTTGTGGTGGAGGCATCGAAATTATACGTGTGTGAATTGTTCCGCTGATCGGACCTCAAGCACGGCATACGATTCAAACATTGATAGACGAGGTAGCTGGTTAAGAAAGCGGAACAAATGCCCAAAACCGCTCCCAACCAAAATTGAATTGTCTCCTGTTGGCGGCTCAAATTTTCTCTTCGAGTCACCACCTCGGAACACTCGAAGTCACACCTTTCGCAGTCGAACTCCGACGTCAGGAACCCGGCTTCGTGGTCGCACTCGTACGTGATGAGACCGAAGAACAGGCCTGGGAAAATCTGCAAGCACATACACATCAAGATCGGTTGAGGATCAGGTGAAAAAATCATGGGGACCTTTTGAACAACAGAAGAAGGCAACATTCAAGTATCGGTAACTAGAGTACCTATACCTATCGATGGCTAAAAGACGAAACCACGTGTTTCCGTTGCAGACTCTTTGTCATACTTTAGGTATAATTTTTCTTTGGGACACTTGTGACCTTGTTTTTTTTTTTTTTTAGAAACCTCCGAGATTTTTCTTCTCTTTAGGAGAATATTCTGTACGAATTTCAAGCTATGAAATTAGTCAACTTTTTCTTTCGAATACCTAAAAATAAAAAAGGAACGGAAAATAGGAACGGAAAAAAATAGGAACGGAAAATAAAATAGGAACGGAAATTTCAAGACATCGCAATGGAGATATGTGGTTTCGCACTTTGGTCATCGATAGGGAGAGTGAGTATTATCAACTCGATCCTTTGAGTACCGCGTTCTGAATGGTTGCGCTATTTTTCCTGCTCGTCGAGCCTCTACTCTGCCGTGCTAAGGAAGAACGCCGTATGAACCTTCAGGCGTTGCCAAATTTTCATTTCTCAACACGAATTTCCTGGTACACTTATGAATATTTTCCCCCAATTTTTCAGATAATTATGTTCACAATTTCACCTAAAGCTCCTGAAAACTTTGCAGAAAAATGTTCAAAACTCTCCTAAAATTGAACATTTTATCGGAGGAAATTTGGCAACTCTTAAATGTTCATACGGCGTTCTTCCTTAGCACGGCAGTACTATACTATATCCAGGGAGTTACGGCACTTGCTTTAGAATGAAGGGCACGATGTAAGAGCAGCGGCGAACCTCTACCACCTTCGTTATTAGTCAATGCGCCGAGTCAGTCTCTCGGCGCACAATGGACCGTCATGCGGCAGTGACGTGCTATAGGCGAAAGGTAAACAAACAATATAGCAGTAGAGCTTTAGACGTGCTAAGAGGTTTTTTTTCAACTTTTCAAATCAGCACTAGACAATTACCCTTAAAAAGGATCCTCTCCTCAGCTTTTGTGCAATGCATTCTGGGGGCGATCTATATGTTTCAAATTTTAACCATCTGATTGATTATTTTGGGAACATTTAAATTTCAGTCTGATGTAGATCAATCATTACTGAATTTTCATGCAAAATTATCTTCCGATTTCTAGATGCAACTTAAGTAACTGCTCTGTAATGATTTAATCAAAGCCGCGGTGAGAACGAAAACACCAACTCGGAAATTTTTAAACGCTTAATTCTCTGTCATCAAACATGTTGTATCGATTTCAACTTGGTGCTTTACAAAGTCTCTAAGTAGGTACTTGTCCTTTGACACCAAAAAGGTATTTCTTAAACTAACTTCCTCGCCCGCTGCGCAGTTTTAAGTGTTTCCTGAACAATTTTTTTTTTTCCGAGTTGGTGTGTTTTCGAACTCACTGATTCAATTAATTATTCGACTATAATGATCTGTTTTGACAGGGTTGTCATAAAATGTTTGATTGACTATACCTTCTCCGTTGGTCCTGCGTAGTTTTTTAAACTGTCGTCGTGATAAATTTCGCAAGCTTTGTAGCCTTGGACCGTTAACTTGCCACAATTGACTTGGATTCGTGGATCGGCGCCACCGACCGTCGTGAACTCCAAATAACCGATGAAAATCAACATGAGAGGCACACGTACATGTACAACACGCCGCATTCTCGCAATTTTGAGGCTGTCTCTCCTCCTAAATCGTTCAGACGGGATTATTTTTGCCTGTTACTTCTCTGTTTTGGCCGAATGGTGAGGATTTTCTAGAAAATAAAGGTCATTCAGATTATTACGACACGGGAGGGTTCCCTGTGAGTCAGACTTTCTCTCTACATTTCTCTAGAAATTTCAGTCAAGATTCTCTTTTCAAGAGGAAAATACACTGTTAAAAATCCCGGCGCGAAATTCACGCTTACCTACTCAGTTGCTATTTTGACCACCTGTTACTCTGAGTGCGTGGATCCGGCGCGAATTTCGCGCTCTGGCCGGAGTGAAAATCTCACAGGCAAATGTAAAACGGAACTGCCGCAGCTTGGACTTGAACTCAGGTCGCGGCGGTGATGGATGAGCGCATTACCACTTTGCCATGCTGAATTCACGCTACTTGAGGGAGCTCAACTGATTTGTCCGTCGTTGGTATGATATTCACGCTCTGATCTATTCACTCCGAGTGCGGCGCGAAATTCGCGCTGGATTTTTTTTCACGCCGGCTATTTGCTCAGAGTAAATCATTGATTTTTGACAGTGTAAGAAAGAAATAATTTGCTTACAGATACTTTTCTACTTCCCGACTTCTATTGTAAAATTTGACGATACAGATCAGACTCTTGAAGAACTAAATGATATAAATTGCATTCTTTAAAAAAAAGTATAAAAGTAATATAGTATGGTGTACGTGTATTTTAAAGCGGTGCCTTAGCATCTATGGCCATTAACACCTGTGTAGCTAGGTGTAGTTAGGTTATGATAAAAGGAAACAAATTTAGAATTAGTCGTAAAAAAAAACAAAAAGTAAAACTTAGGGGATTGGAGGAAAAATAGAGTAAGTGCATGATAATACCGTTTTTTAAAAACCCTGGTAAAAATTGACGATAGGAGCTGCGTTTCAAAATATCATAGGAGTTCTTATAGCTGACTGAAAGGGGCGATAGAAAATCATATAGCTGGCTGTAGAAAGTGGAAAAAATCATACGGCCGGGCTACACGAAGTGATAAAAAATTATACAGCCGGGCTATAGTTCCTATCGCCGGGCTTCACACTTTATCGCCTGGCTGTTGCTTTTTCGCCATTGGCTATAAAAGGCAATAAGAAATTGTGGAGAAACTCTTGTGCTTTGTAAATCCTTAAGTTTGTACGGAATCACCTTAACATTTACAACACGCACATTATATTTTCCTTTACTACATATTTTTTTTTCATCAATTAAAATTAGAATAATCCATACAAAGTGTGCAAACATTTCAAAGTCATGAGTTGAAAAACGCTGACTCCGAGAGATTAAATATTAGAGCCTAACACAAAGCGGAGCGGCGGCGCACTGGCGCCTACAAACCCAACAGGGATACTTCACGCATTGCGCATTGCGCGTTCAGCGCTGGCTGCCCGCCCGCCGCGCCGCGATGCAGCATGCAGCGTGCCGCGGCGCGGCGCTTGAAGCAACTATTTCACACCAGAGGTATTGCACAGTATCATACGAAATTGAAGGCGCTCCAACAGATAAGGAATGGCAGGCATCCTTTAAGAGTACGGAGCTTTCCTCGCAAAATAAATCAAGATACTGCGGCCCAAAAAGAGAGCGGTAGTCCAAAAACTCATTAAGTCCTAGCATCCGTAATTAGTAACGTTTAGCATACACTTTATCGCCAGGCTGTTGCTTACTCGCCATCGGCTATAAAAGGCTATAAGAAATTGTGTTGCCGGCTATAGAAGCTATTGAAAATCTCACAGCCGGCTGTAGGTCTATGGTGTTTTGGAACACAGATTCTACTGCCAATTTTTACCAGGGAAATTAAAAAAAAGATATTAATTTCGGGTGGATTTTATTTGAGGACCTATATGTCTTGTGGAAAAATTGAACGCAAGAGCTAATTGTTTCGCATCACTATTCATACATAACATTTATTCGTGCCTTGAGCTTCCAATTGATTATTTGTTTCCACTAGACTCATTTTTTTCGAGATCACTGAGAGATCTCGAGACCTCCTTCATCCTTTGTATTTTTCATTCATTAATAATGCCGAAAGCAGTAATGAAGGCGGGAAAAGAGCGGATGAACAGAGGCGGATCCGGTAGTTTGGCAACAACAGATTTCCTCCATTTAAACCTATGTTAAATAATCGTATCTTGTCGGGGCGCAGGCCCCTCCAAGAATCGATACATTTCCATAGGTTTAAATGGAGAAAAACATTGGTGCCGATTTTCTGGATCTGCCAATGGAGATGAACCATCTCCATTGCTAAGTCTAAAAAGGCACAGGGGCTCACAGGGCACAACTAAAGTCGTTGCGACGTCTACAAATTTCCGCACATGATCTATGTTTTTCGAATAAAAAATTAGCCTAAAGAATACATTCTTAGAATTTTCTGGAAAATTATTTGATAAAAGACAAAAAACAGAAAATTCAAAGGAAACCTGTCCGTAAGTGAGTTTTTTTATGAGTAAGTAGAACATGAGCGGAAAATTGCAACGCAGCAATTGTAGGTATACGCAGTTTTCAACTTCATCTATCGATTTTGAAGGGGTGAGTCTATACATTACTAGTCGTGATTAGCTCGCTTTGCGAGCTGACACGTCTAGCCGGGGAGTGCCCCTGGACCCCAGTTCTACGCTTCGCGACGAACTTGCGACTCGCTCCGCGAGCCGCCACCGCCCCGCACAGTTTTTAACATTGATGAGGAGACAACATCTATGTCTTAATCTTCTTTTTCACCAAGTTTTACAGAAATTGATGTTCTAGGAGTCCGGACCGCGTTTTCGTGCGGGGCCGCCATCTTGGATTTGGAAATGATGAAAATCTGACCAAAAATGCGAGTTTTCCGTCGAAATACACCTCCTAATACCGAATTTCACAAAAATCGATGGATCGGAAGCCGAGATAGCAATTTAGACCACGTTTGTCATCTTGGATTTTTGAATTTTGAAAATCTGACCAAAAATTCGAGTTTCTCGTCGAAAAATACCCCTGGATACCGAGTTTCACGAAAATCGATCAAACAGGAGCCGACTTAGCATTTTAGGCCACGGCCACCATCTTGGATTTTGAAATTTTGAAAATCTAACCAAAAATTCGAGTTTCCCGTCGAAAAGTACCCCCGGCTACCGAGTTTCACGAAAACCGATATAACAGGAGCCGACTTAGCATTTTAGGCCACGGCCGCCATCTTGGATTTTGAAATTTTGAAAATCTAACCAAAAATTCGAGTTTTCCGTCGAAACATACCTCCTAATACCGAATTTCACGAAAATCGATATAACAGGAGCCGACTTAGCATTTTAGGCCACGGCCGCCATCTTGGATTTGGAAATTTTGAAAATCTAACCAAAAATTCGAGTTCCCCGTCGAAAAGTACCCCCGGATGCCGAGTTTCACGAAAATCAATCAAACAGGAGCCGACGTAGCATTTTAGGCCACGGCCGCCATCTTGGATTTTGAGATTTTGAAAATCCGACGGCGCGATGCGCGTAAACAACCGCGTATCTCCAATGTAATACTATATGGAGAAACAATTTTTCGCTCTTGCGGGCGTCCTAAGCAGCGGATTTGAGTGGGAATAATTTTAATCAACTCCTCATTACAATAGCTGAGCGTGTACCAATTTTAAAGGAAATCGCTTCGGCCAATTTTTATCTAGGGGGGGCATAGTGAGTGGGAACAGCAGCTTTATATAGAGTAATGGCAGCTCCCCCAAAACCATGACCTCCGCCTCCCCTTATCTTTACACTCCCATGTTAAGGAAGAACGCCGTATGAGCCTTTAGATGTTGTCAAGTTTCCTCTGATAAAAACCGAATTTACTGGGAAAATTGCGAATATCCAAATTTTATAACAATCTTGCATGCAATTTAATCTAAAATAAAAAATATCTGAAAATTTCATGGAAAAATATGCATGAATATTGTCAAAAATACATGTTTTATCAAGGGAAATTTGGCAACTCTCGAATGTTCATACGGCGTCCTTCCTTAGCACAGCAGCACTTACAGTACCACATTATAGGGAGAGTATGGTCACTGGGTCAGTATACAGGGCTTCGGATCATCCGAAGCCAGCGTTAAGATATCATCTGATTCCTATTGATGGGCGGGCCATGGCAGTCTCTAATCTATAAGGTGAGGTTGGGTAACTGGGCGGTGGGGTAACTGGGCAGTACCCTCTGTATTTCTACCAGATTAGTGCAAAAATTGTTTTCACTGTTGGCATACCTTCATTATGACGTAAACCATCTAGAACATGTAAACATAACTTCAAAAAAAAATTTTATGGTGAATGGTGAAGTGCCGAAAATTGGACAGCTTTTTTTTCAAAACAACGCCGGAGGTGGTCCCGAAAAGAGCCTCATATCTCACTCCCAGCAAGTATTTTATTCAACTTTGACAATTCTTCTTCATGTATGATGTATTTGTGTAATGCGTGAGTAATTACAACGTAATTGGATGAAAATACTGGCTGCAAAGGGTTGATGCCCAGTTACCTTGAAAATTTTCCCTTTGTGGGGTAACTGGGCACCCACCCCAAGGTAACTGGGCAGGTGGCAGTGGTGGCACCTGCCCAATTACCCATTGCAAGGTTGCTGTGCTTCGGTGTTTGTTTACTTCTGAAAATGTCAAAACTAATTGACTATTGTGGACTTTTAAGTGCCAAAGACCAATAATCAGGGTTCCCAGCACACTAAACTTCTAACTTAAGTCAATTATAGCATAACTTAAGCATTACTTAATTACATTTTTGCCGCTGTTATGACATCACTTTTAACGACTTAAACATGGTTATATAAATTCAAATGAAATTCTCTGAAACCCTCATGAGAAGGACATTCTTTTCTGGCCAATGAGAATTACAAATAATGCCACCCTTAAAAATTAAGGGAACTTTTTGGCGCCTGACTCTATCCCAGATCAGCCTTGCGGCTTAATTTTTTTTCATTTTTTAAAAATGTATCATGCTTAATCTCACTAAAAGTGGCCAAACAGTGTCCTGGTATACAATACTACTTTATAAGTAGTAATACAGAAAGTTCTAAGCATTTATCTACAAGGAAACAATTTTTTTTACCGTTATTCAATTCTCAGATTTGAGGGTTTTTTTGCCGCTAACTGTTACGACATCATTCTTAACCACTTAAACATGTTTATATACGTTCAAATGACATTTTCTTAAACCTTCATAAGCAGGACATCACTTTCTGGCCAATGAGAATTAAAAATAATGCCTTCCTCAAAAATTAAGGGGGGGGGGGTAGTCCAGTTACCCCACGACGTTGGGTAACTGGGTGAAAAAAACGGGAAATTTTTGAAAATTTGTGGGAAAAAATTGAAAGATGAATTTCGACTTTTGACTCTTCCTACATTTAGACAAGATGTTGTACTTACTAAAAAAAATTTAAAAATAGCCTCCACTGTCAATATAATGATGGGAAAAAAATCATGAAGTTGAAATTTTGACATTTTTCTCCGAACTCCTGCCCAGTTACCCAACCTTACCTTAATTGTCGATCAAGTAATCATGATTTGGGCAATAATGACTGAGATTAAGATTACGGGTTGAATGAACCAAAAAGACGGACGAAAGAAATAAAATAATTACGAATGAAGGAAAATGTTAGTACTTAGTCTCCGAAAAATGGGGAAAGTGTTGACACGGATGATAAAAATTATTTTAAAGATCATCTCTCAAAATTTTATGGCATCGGAATCTAGGTGCTTTTGATTCTTATACCTACTCGGTAAAAAAATTCCTTATTCAAGAAACGAACTAAAAAAATTGCGTGGCCCGGTATGGGGCCTTCTCCATATGGGGAAAAATTTGGGGCAACATTTTCACAAACAATTTTTTCAGTGGCAGCACCAATTTAGGTATATGCTCTGAGTTTTATAAGGGTGAAAACTTTCATTGTAAACTACACGTTTACATTTCAGAGCCACCATAGGTACTTTCCCCCGCATAATATGTAACTAACTACAATAGCCCGTAGTTTAATAACCGTTGTAATAACTGTTAGGTATCCTTAAAGTCAATAAATGTGTCTTATCTTCATCTTACCTTCGATCATAGAAAGGAATATGCATTAGAATACATTCTGAGACACGAGGACGATGAATCCTTGTTGAGATTTACCAATGATAGAGTACATTCACCGAACAGCCGAATGAAAAACTACGACCACATTTCTACAAAATATTCGCAAACTAAATAAACCTTTACTGTTTCCTTGATAAAAGGAGAATCACTAAAGAAAATACTGAAAGAAGAAATACTGTTACGAACTATCACTGTCAACAATACGTAAGTAATACATTTAATTCAGTTCCTGGGAGGATTTGAGAGAAAATGAGCTGACTTATACAAGGCCAAATCAGGAAAGTGCTTTATCAAAACCTTATCTTCATTGTAAATATGGACGCGCGTAATCTATTGGTCTGCTGACTCGAATTAGTCATAGCCAACAGTAATAAAATAATAGAGATGTCGCAGATGTATAAAGAAACTAATGCCATAATTTTGGACCCACCCCTCCTCTCACACTCGCAGTGCAAAAGTTTAATTTATTTCCTAAGCATTTCATCACCAATGCCTATTTTTTTGATGTCGCATAGAGTTTATAAGAGAGAGAGAGAGGGAGAGAGAGAGAGACCTCTATTTTCTTTACGACGAAGCACCGCCGCACAGTGGATCTAGTCAACGATAGAGGTCGGACAAAATTTGAAAACTTTAAAAGCTAATAACTCCGTTCATACAAAACTTTGAGGTTTTAAAAGTGGTTCGATTGGTTTCCTCGTGAAGTTTTCTTTTAGAGGCACCCCTTAAACTTTAAAATTTGACGAGTTAAACATCAACATTTTCTGTTTTAGTCGAAAATGTCATGTATCTTATTGACTCGATCCACTATGCGCCGTCGAAAGAGAAAGCTAAAATTCGCCCCTTTTCATCTTCATTTTCAATTGGCTCGGCAGCCTTTTTTAAAGAAGGATCGGTGAAAATGATAACGACTGTCGTCCAACTCTACGAAACTTCGATATCTGACAGCGGAGGAAACTCCGCTCCTTAATACTACCATACTAGGAAAAACGCCGCCGTAAGAACCCTCAGGCGTTGCCAAATCTCTTTCGATCAAGCACGAATTTCCAGGTGATCTTATGAATATTTTTCTTCCGATTTTTCAAATAATTTTTCTCGCAATTCCATCAAGAAATCTTGAAAATTTCAAGGGAAATTCTCATAAATTTCCTCAAAAATTAACATTTTATTGAAGGACATTTGGCAACCCTTGAATGTTCAAACGGGGATCTTCCTTAGTACGGCAGAATAAGTGCCGTGCCCAAAAATTCGAACATCCTCTAGTCCAGCTCGATTCGGCTGCAGCATTATATGGTTCAGTTACACGATCAAATTGAGCCATCAAACTGAAGTTCTGATTGGTGGAAAAAGACCTGAGGTGAGGATGCGACCAATGAGAGGCCCAATTTGATGGCTCAATTTGATCGTGTAACTGGACCTTTATAGCAGCGGCGCGGCGTCAGACGCATCGGAAAGACGCTTCTTAAATTCCGTATACCTCCGCCCGCACATCTTCACTCTATCTCAAAAAGTAGAGGCATACTATATTGTCCCAGTAAGTGAGGAACCGATGTAGTATCAACCATACAGAGGGGAAAGATTGATAAGGGACCGTAAGGGCGAGGATTATTCGTATGCTGAAAGCAAAAAGGTGGAAAAGTTCTACTTCCCAGTTTCTGGTGGCAATACTTACAAAAGAAGAAGAAAACATCAAAGCAGATTTCCTCCACGGTAGGAAACAAATGCGCTTGTTCTCCTGAAGAATATGCAAAAAAAAAGAGAAAAAAATAGTTTCCCCCGCTTAAATTATTGTCTAGGAATATTTTTGAAATTTATGATGGAAAATCGTACAAAACAGAATAAGAAATACTGTAGCTTAGTTTCTTAAGGAAATATAAAAAAAAAATCACTTGTGAAGGTTTGCGGCGTTTCGGCCAAATATAAATAGGCACTCTTTGCGTGTAGCCATCTATTTGACATCATTAATGAAAGGCGTTTGTGAGATGACCGTTCGAACACGGGTGATGCCCATATTGCCACTGGCTGGAATTGAAGGCGCGCCACGGCACGCTGTGACGATTACACGACCGCAGTCTGCGCTGATTAGCGCGGGGCTAGTGGCACCGCTAAATTTGGACCTAAAGTTATGAATCATTCTTGAGTCGCATTTTCTGAGGAAATTAAATAAATAATAAATTACGAACGAAACATGAGTGGCGGTTTGCTTGTTTTTTGCGCTTGGCCATCGATTGTTGACATTATTAGTTACAGAGGGCATGTTTGGGATAACTATTCGACCATGGTTGATATCCATATTGCCGGTTGCCGGAATGGAAGGCGCATCAAGCTGCGGTTTCCTCCAACTTTTGTTGTCGGCGGTGATCGCGCTATTAGCGCCGAGAATTGGTGACCGCTTGGACCATCATCGGCGCTATTTAGCAAAATCCTGTTTTCCTAGGACTCAGGACAGCTTTGACTATTGCAAGTATTGTAGTGACCTTGATTTTATTATTAAAGTGATGTGTGTTTCTGTTACCTCGACGTTTTAAAATGCTTTTTTTACAGGGAACCAGGCCCGCCACAAGGGGGGGGGATGCTGGGTCCCTGGTTCCGGGGCCCGGGCCCTGGAGGGGCCCGTGCCACTGGTGAAAAACCACTACGAATTCACATGTAACCCTTGTCTCGAAAGGAAAAGTGAAAAACCCCTAAAAATTTCGGAAAAGGTGAATACATTTTCAAAAACACGATGGGGCACTGTAGAATTTTTCTTACTTCTTTAAAGATTTATATTTGTTTTCAAGATTTTTAGTATAGATTGATATTTTTAGTAACTGCGATTCATTTTCTTCCGTCGTCGGATGCTATTGAAACTAGTATCATCTGTCGGCGGCCCCCCCCCTCCCCCGAAAAAAATTTCCAGATGTTTTGAATGCAACAATCCGAAAGTATTTTGTGCTAAAAGTAAAAAAAAATGCGTAATTATTCTGTAGAAACTGATGGAAAATCTCCGTCATGGGAGCTTCAAAAATGCGTCCAAGTACATTTAAAATTTTAAAAATTTCCCGGGGGAGGCCCCCGGACCCCCTCTGTGCTGGGGGCCCGGGCCTTAAAACTGGTACCAGGGCCCGAGATGAGATGTGGCGGACCTGAGCCCACGTCCGCCATCTTGAATTTAAGAATTTTAAAAAATTGACTAAAAATTCGAGTTTCCCGTCAAAAGTACCCTCTGCCACCGAATTTCAGAAAAACCCATCGATCAGGAGCCGAGATAGCATTTTAAGCCACTTCAGTCATTTCGGATTTTCGAATTTTGAATTTTTTGAATTTTGATTTGAAACGCGTGATACCCAAAATCGAAGCTCAGATTCGGATTCCTCGTAAAAAATCGATGCGATTTCATTTATCATACCCTGACACCGAATTCCAGAAAAATCCATCGAACAGGAGCCGCAATGGCATTTTAGGCTACGTCCTTCATTTCTGATTTTTGAATTTAAAAAATTTGACTTAAAAGGCGTGATACCCAAAATCGAAGCTCAGATTCGGATTCCTCGTTAAAAATCGATGCAATTTCATGTATCATACCCGAGCATAGCGTGAAGGAAAGAGACGTAACGTAGACATACTGATTCGAGCATATGAATGCAACGTGGCAACATGGGTAGTGCTCAGTGGGTCAGCGGAGGAGGAAGAATAAGAATTTATCGTGAGGAATTCCTCGGGACGAAACCGAACACTTAGCGCCGGCTGGCGCCTCCCCGTTCGGTTGCATTTCGAGCGACCGGCGCGGGCGCGGCGCGCGGCGCGACGGCGTAGTTCAAACGGGTAGTATGACAGAATTCATACGCGTTGTTTAACCTCTTTCCTCAACGCTATGATAACATATGATACATGAAATCTCATCAATTTTTCACAAGGAATCCGAATCTGAGCTTAGATTTTTGATATCATGCGTTTTAATCTATTTAAAATCGTAGGAGAAATTACAGAATTGTCCTTGAAAATCGATCACACATTAGTGTTTTTTTACGTCTTTAAACCTCTTTCCTTCACGCTATTCTAACATATGATACATGAAATCGCATCAGTTTGTCACGGGAAATCCGAATCTGAGCTTACATTTGGATATTACGCGTTTTAATCTATTTACAATCGTAGGAGAAATTACAGAATTGTCTTTGAAAATTGATCACACATTAGTGTTTTTTACCCCGTTTTTCTTTTGCGTTCACGCAGGCCCGCCACATCTCATCTCGGGCCCTGGTACCAGTTTTCCGGCCTGGGCCCCTAGCGCAGAGGGGGGTCCGGGGAGCCTCTCTCGGGAAATTTTTGAAATTTTAAATCTACTTGGACGCATTTTGAAGCTCTTATGATGGAGTTTTTCCATCAGTTTCTGCAGAATAATTACGCCTTTTTTTTTACTTTCAGCACCAAATACTTTCGAATTGTTGCATTCAAAACATCTATAAATTTTTTTTGAGGGGGGCAGATGATACTTTTCAATTCTAGGGGGAGCCGGGCCCCCCTGGACTCCCCTTTCGTAGGTCTATGGCGAGGGAGTTGAGCCATTGAAGCCGAGGATGCCCAGACAGGAGCAGGAGCAGGAGCCTCTAAGCATCCGACAACGGAAGAAAATGAAACGCAGTTACTAAAAATATCATTCTATATATACCTACTCAAAATCTTGAAAATAGATAGAAATCTCTAAAAAAGTAAGGAAAACTTTATAGTGCCCTAGTGTGTTTTTGAAACTTCATTCACCTTTTGCGGAATTTTTAGGGTAATTTTTTCACTTTTCCTTACGAGCAGGCCCGCCACAAGAGGGGGATAGGTACTGGGTCCTTGGTATCGGGGCCCGGACCCTGGAGGGGCCCGTGACGCAGGTGACAAACCACTACGAATTCATGTCGACGGTGAAACTACCAAACCACGTATCTCGGTTTGCGACGTCGCAGACTTCCTGTCATACTTTATTTTTTAAAGGAAAAACTACTCAACGTCCAGTCTTGAAAATTTCTGTGATTTTTCCTCTTCGTGCGGAGAAAATTCTGTGAAAATTTCAAGGAATGATATTGATTTGGTCTACTTCAAAAAAATAAAATGCGAGCGTAGATTTTTAAACACCGCAAACGAGATACGTGATTTGGTAGTTTCACCGTCGATGTGTACCTAACCCTTGTCTCGTGACACCTGTCTCGTGATACAGGGTTTGTTATGAAAAAAGGGAACGAATATGGAGGGTATCCCAGTATAAAGAAACAAAAACGTACAATTCAGGGGATTCGAAGAAAAATAGAAAAAATGCATAGTCATACCGAAATAGAAAAAAGAACATAGTAATGGAGTACTTAATAGTGAGGAATTGTCCACCACTGGATCTTTGAAAGAAAGAGAGAAAGAAAATTGGAACTTTAGATGATGGAGTATAATTCTGAAATATTTTACTCAAACAGATCATCGGGCACTTGCTGTGATACATTTACTACGAACCATAAGATATGAGATTAATGCGAGATGCGAGATTTTTGCACTTTTGGATTGCATGTGCAGCAGTATTCTGCCGTGTAATAGCGAAGGACGCGTATGAACCTTCGGGCGTTACCAAATCCCCCTTGATAAAACACAGATCTCCCGGACAACTTATGAATATTTTTCGTCCAATATCTCTGATAATTTTGCTCGCAATTCCACCGAAAAGTCCTGAAAATTTTAAGGGCAAATATTTTTAAGTTTCCTCAAATATAAACATTTTATCGAAGGAAATGTGGCAACTCTCGAATGTTCGTTCAAACGCCGCGTTCTTCGCGCCATGCGCCGGCCGTCGGCCATTATGTCATCGTCTTACAATTAGTGTGACGCGCCTTCAACTCCAGCTAGCGGCAATATAGGCATCACCCGTGGTCGAAAAGTTATCTCACGAACGCATTTCCTAAATCGTCACATTCCGGCCCAAGTATCACGAGCGCCATGCGACGTCCAAAAATTGACACCGCTATTTTATTTTTTTACAGAGAAATTGCTGGTTGAATCCGATTGAAACTCGCACTGAGTTTTATCGGTAGCACAAAGAAAATCAGTGAAATTGTCGGACAGCTTCGTTTGACGATTTCTCTGTAAAAAAATAAAATTGTGGCGGAAATTGGCGCTTGTGATACTTCGGCCGAAATGACGTCAAATATTGATGGCTGCACAAAAAAAAAAACCTTTGCGTGTCCTCGATTGAAACGTTCCATACTTCCGCCAATGTTTTATCTGTACTTCATTATTTTAAAAAAAAATTTCGTTATTCATTGCAATTATATTCACGGAAAATTTAAGCGGGGGAAACCTCTTTTTTTTTATTGTGTCTCCTATTGGAGAGCAATCCCTTTNGGGGGGGGGGGGGGGGAATCAGCCCAGATGAATGCACTTAATCAGTCATATTGTTGGGGAAAAAATTCCCTCTGAAGGTGATTTCTGCGTAAATTTGCATCCTTTCCCCTTCCGTACCGATGCGTTTTTTGCTACGACGCGATTTTCTCGCAAAAAAAAAAAAAAAAAAAAAAAAAAAAAAAAAAAAAAAAAAAAAAAAAAAAAAAAAAAAAAA